CCTCCGCCGTCCTTAACTATACCCTCTCCCCGCCTCCCTCTCGCTTTTCCATCTCTTTCTCTCCCAACTTTTTCTACTCTTTCTCTTCTCTCTTTTCTCCTTACTCTGTCTGAATCCTCCTTCTCTTCCCCTCCCCCTAATCCCGAAACCTCCCTCTCCCTCTTTCTTCCTATCCCCAATCCTTCCGTCTCCCTCTTCTCCCCTTCCTTCCCCCTCTTCCCCAACCCTTCACCTTCCTCCTCACCCCCACCCCCACCGCTCTCTAACCTTTCCTTCTCCTTTCTCCTTCTCCCCCCCAGTCCCCCCTCACCCTTCCTCCTCACCCCCCCCTTCTCTAACCCTTCCCTCCCCCCCCCCCCAATCAAGCATTTATATCCCCCATTGTATAACAACGTTTCGGAATAACGAGCTTTTCGTCATAACACGCCAAGAACGTCTCAGGGCTTCACAATGCAGGAGAGTGGCGCCATTTGCTTCTTTGTGAGACCGGGGAAGGGTAGGCGAAGGGGGAGGGGAGGGGGAGGGGAGGGGAGGGTTTGGATGAGAGTTCGTTGGCGTGCGCAGCGTTTCTCTCTGTCTCTTTTCTCTTCTCTTTCTCTTCTCTCTCTCTCTCTCTCTCTCTCTCTCTCTCTCTCTCTCTCTCTCTCTCTCTCTCTCTCTCTCTCTCTCTCTCCTCTCTCTCCTCTCTCTCAGTTCGTTTTGTTGTGTGTGTGTGTGTGTGTGTGTGTGTGTGTGTGTGTGCATCTGCGTGTGTAACGGGTGTTATTTCTATTCCTATTTCGCATTTCCTACTTCATTTGTGTATGACATACCTTTAGTTCCATTAACAGTATCACCATTCACATTATCTTTATATCTGCATCTTTTTTACATTACGAATTAACTGTTGTTTCTTGAGGGAATTGTTCCATCCATTATTCAGGCCGTGATTGCAAGCGAGACGGAGTGATGTTATTCATTTTCTGTTTTTCATGCTGAGAGCCTTTCCTGGAAGCATCATTACATATACATTTTTTCTTCCTAAATTGCATATATATTTTACTGGTTTTCGACTGACACTGAGGACGTTGTTTCTGAGAACGTTTCTTACGAATCACAATGATTGTTGATATTATTGTTATTATTGTGATTATTGTTATCCTTATGGTTAATATTTTTGTTATCATTATTATCATAATGATGATATTCATATCATTATTATTGTAGTAGTATCATTCTTACTATCATTATGTTTTATTATTATTATCATTATTATTATTATTTATTATTATTATTATTATTATTGTTTATTGTAATAATGATAATAGTTAATATATTATTCATTATTATTATTATTATAATCATTATTATTATTAACATCATTATTATCAACATCATTATCAATAGTAGCAGTAATAGTACTGCTACTACTACTTCTATTACTACTACTAATAAATTATTATGATGATGATAATGATAATGATAATATTATGCTTACCATAATAACAATGATAATAGTAATAATGACATTGATAATGATGATAATAATAATATTGGTTATGATAATGATAATCATTTTGATAATAATGAAGAATAATTTTAGTAATTATTATGAGGAAGATGCTGCTGATGACAATGATAATGATAGTGATAATGATAATGATAATGGTAATAAAGATGACGATGATAATGATGTTGATAATAGTATTGATGTTTATAATAATAATAATAATAAAAATGATAATGATGATGATGGTGATAATCATAGTCATAATCATAATGAGGACAATAACAATAATGATGATAAGAATAGTAATGATAATGATTATGATAATGGTAATAATGATTATGATGATAATTATAATGTCCCTCACCCCTCCCCTTCCTCCACCCCTCCCTCCCCCCTTCTTCCACCCCTCCCTTCCCTCCCCCCCCACCTCCTTACCATACCCACTCCCCCATCCCCTCCCTTCCCCTCCCTCCCCTCCCTCCACCTCATCCCCATCCCCACCCCTCCCCTTCCCCCCTCCTTCACCATACCCACCTTCTTTAAAGACCGTTTCTCCTCCACCCCATCCCCTCCCCCCTCCCCTCCCCTCCCCTCCTCCACCCCATCCCCATCCCACCCCTCCCTTTCCCTCACCTCTCCCACCCCATTCCCATCCCCCCCTCCCCTTCCCCCCTCCTTCACCATACCCACCTTCTTTAAAGACCGTTTCTCTTCCACTCCAGGCACGAGCTGGTGGACGAGGGCTCCCTGATGGTGAAGCACGTAGACCAGAGCGACGGCGGCCAGTACACGTGCGAGGCCTGGAACTTGGCGGGCTCGAAGACCACCGTGCCCGTCAACCTCTACGTGCACAGTGAGTACGCCCGGGGGGGGGGGGGTTGGGAAGGGTGGGGTTGAGTTGGATGGGAGGTGAGGGGGGGGTTGCTGAGTGTGTGGTGGAATGTGTTGCGTGATGGTGTGATAGTATGATGTAGATATATGTGATATATGTTATACATTTTTTGTAGTACGTGAGATTATTTTTTCTATTTTCGAGTATTGCAAATCTTTTCCACTTCTCTCATCCCAAGACTCGTTACCATGATATATTACCTGCTCTCCGCCATTAAAAAAAATTGAACCCTATCAGTACTCATTCTTCCTATGAATTCCCGCTCTCATTCCCCTCCTTCCTTTCAGTCAAGCCCAACTTCCTCCGCGGACCCAAGGACACGGTGACTCTGACGGACCGCAAAGTGGAGTTCGAGTGCCAGGTGAGCGGCGACCCTCCCCCTCAGGTGTCTTGGCGGCGACTGAGGGGCCCGCTGCCCGAAGACCGGACCGAAATCCTCGACGATCATACGCTCAGGTTTGCGTTCTTTTAGGTTTTGTTTTGGGGGGTTTGTTTACGATTTTTTTGGGGGGTTGTTAGTGAGATTTTAGGTTTGGTTTTGTGATTTCGATTTTTTAAGGATTTATGATTAAGATTTTTAGGATTTTTGATTTACGATTTTTAGATCTTATGATTATGACTTTTAGGTTTTGTGATTATGTTTTTTTTAGGATTTATAAATGAGATTTTTAGGATTTTTGATTACGAATTTTTAGGTTTTGTGATTACGATTTTTTTAAGGGGTGTGTGTTGATATTGGTGTTCGTATTTGATTGGTTGTTTGTTTGATTTTAGTGTTTTGTGATTGTGTGTGTGTGAGTTTCTGAGACAGATGGTTATTATTGCCAACATTTCGTCCAGTTTTTTTTTTTTTTTTTTAGATATTGGGTAATTTTGTTCTTAAGGTCTTTAGAATACTATTACTACTTATGACAACTGCTACTACTATTTATAATGAAGATGATAGAGATGATGATGATAATGATACTAATGATGGTGAGGATGAAAGTAGAGCATTGATAATGTTAACAGTGGTGATGATGAAAATACGAATTTTGATATGGATAATAATGGTAATAATAATGATAATAATGATAAAAGTAATGATAATAATGATAAAAGTAATGAATAATGAAAAGTAATGATAATAATGATAAAGATAATTATAATAATGCCAATGATAATAATAATAAAATGATAATAATATGATAATATGATAATAATGATAAAATAAAATAAATAATAATAATATAATAATATTAATAATAATAATAAGTAATAATAACATAACAATAATACACAATAACAGCAATGATAAAGATGACAATAGCAACGATAAGCCTTACCTCCCGCCGTGCCTTCCTCCCTCAGATGGCCCAAACCGCGTCACATCGAGCCAACTAACAATATTCCAGTCATTTAATAATGCTGTTTGCTCACTGCCCTTGCCTCCTGGCGTGCCAATTAATGCCAGCAGCACGGTATGAAGTGTCAGGCTGCTATGCCGTGGTCGTACAGTTGTCATATCACTGGCATATTACCGGAAAGCTGAGGATTCACTGTTTAGGGTGATCGTCATTTTGTGGTTTCTAGAATTTTGCTTTTGTTTTTCTTTTCTCTTTGATCTGTTTTCATTTCTCTCGTCTCTTCTCTCTCTCTCTCTCTCTCTCTCTCTCTCTCTCTCTCTCCTCTCTCTCTCTCTCTCTCTCTCCTCTCTCTCTCTCTCTCTCTCTCTCTCTCTCTCTCTCTCTCTCTCTCCTCCCTCTCTCTCCTCTCTCTCTCTCTCTCTCTCTCTCTCTCTCTCTTCTTCTTCTCTCTTTTCTCTCTCTCTCTCTCTCTCTCTCTCTCTCTCTTCTCTCTCTCTCTCTCTCTCTCTCTCTCTCTCTCTCTCTCTCTCTCTCTCTCTCTCTCTCTCTCTCTCTCTCTCTCTCTCTCTCTCTCTCTCTCTCTCTCTCTCTCTCTCTCTCTCTCTCTCTCTCTACTCTCTCTCTCTCTCTCTCTCTCTCTCTCTCTCTCTCTCTCTCTCTCTCTCTCTCTCTCTCTCTCTCTCTCTCTCTCTCTCTCTCTCTCTCTCTCTCTCTCTCTCTCTCTCTCTCTCTCTCTCTCTCTCTCTCTCTCTCTCTCTCCCTCTCCTCTCTCTCTCTCTCTCTCTCTCTCTCTCTCTCTCTCTCCTCTCCTCTCCTCTCCTCTCCTCTCCTCTCCTCTCCTCTCCTCTCCTCTCCTCTCTCCTCTCCTCTCCTCTCCTCTCCTCTCCTCTCCTCTCCCTCTCTCTCCCCCTTTTTCCCTTCTTTCCTTTCTTTCCTTCCTCCTCCCTCCCTCTCTCCTTCTCTCGACACCCAGTTTCTTCGTTATTTAAGTGAGTCATTTACTCTTAATATCCATATTGAGTTGATGCAACGCCGACGTAAAGATGGCAGCCTGGAATTATTTTAATGAGAATAATTACTTTCTGGCATTTTTCTCTCTCTTCTATTTTTGGGGTCTTTTTTTTGGGGGGTGGGGGGTGAGCTCTTTTACGACCCCGCGACGCCTCACTTGACAGCCTGTGATTTCAGATTAATGTCAGAACTCATTCCACGGCGCCCTTTTATCGCTTGCAGTCACGTGCTTGTCTTCGCTACCGTCATGCGAGAGAAATAATAGTTCGTTTTATTTTTACTTTTTTTTTCTTTTTTGAAAGAATAGAAATGAGTCTTTTCAAATGTCGAGTTTGTCTTTTTTTTCTTTATTCAGGATTGTCGTTGTTGGAATGTGACGTCACTCTCCTCGAATAGTTTTTGCTCTTTGTCCTTATGTATTTATTTATGTGTTTTGTTTTTACTTATATCCCATTAACGTGGACGCAGAAAGTATGACAGGGAACGGTACATCGCTCTTTAATTCAGGTATTTCCGTGACAGTACTTCACTTTACAATGAACAAAGTTTGTACCCGTTTCTCTTCGTTTATTTCCGTCGTTCAGCTTTGCTCGTTGAAATGACTCCACAGGGCGCTTGCAAGGGGGGGGGGTTGGCCAAGTTTTTTTTTAGCTCGTTCGTCAAAAGGTCTCTGGGAAACTTGAAGTGAGTTGGTTTACTTGTTATAGCTATCTGTGTCTGTCTGTGTGTGTGTCTGTCTGTCTGTCTGTTTGTGGTGTGCGGTGTGTGACTGTATGTGTGTGTGTGTGTGTGTGTGTGTGTGTGTGTGTGTGTGTGTGTGTGTGTGTGTGTGTGTTGTGTGTGTGTGTGTGTGTGTGTGTGTGTGCGGCTATCTGGCTGTGTGGTTTTATGTATGTGTCAGTATCTGTGTCCGCGTATTAGTGCATGAATGAGAAAGCGAAGAGAAAAAGAGAGAATTATAATGCATATCCGAGTACCTGTATAATTACATATGGACCTATACATGCATAAACATGTATATAGATAGATCTACATACAATATAATCTTACCCATATATATATATCTATATATGTGTGTGTGTGTGTGAGTGTTGGTGTGTATGTATGTCTGTGTGTGTGTGTGTGTGTGTGTGTGTGTGTGTGTTCCTTGTGTCCGGTAATGCGCATGACATTTGCCTTTCATCTAACGCCCCCCCCCCCTCTCCCCCCGCAGGATCGGCCGCGTGACCCCCGGCGACGAGGACACCTACGTCTGCGAGGCCGTGAACGTGGTGGGAACGGCGAGAGCGAACGCCACGCTCACTGTCTATAGTAAGTTTGTCGTTTTTTTCGCGTTTTGTCTTTTTGTTTCGTTTGTATTTTGTTATTTTATCTTATTTTTTTCTTTATCAAAATCATCTCTCTCTCTCATTCTCTCTCTCTCTCTCTCTCTCTCTCTCTCTCTCTCTCTCTCTCTCTCTCTCTCTCTCTCTCTCTCTCTCTCTCTCTCTCATTCTCTCTCTCTCTCTCTCATTCTCTCTCTCTCTCTCATTCTCTCTCTCTCTCTCTCTCCTCTCTCTCTCTCTCTCTCTCTCTCTCTCTCTCTCTCTCTCTCTCTCTCTCTCTCTCTCTCTCTCTCCTTCTCTCTCCCTCCCCCTTCCTCCCTTTCCCATTTTTTTCTCTCTATCTATCCCTTTTTCTGCTTATTCCTCTCCTCTCTTGTTTACCATCTTATATTGTCCATGCAGATAGATAGCTACACAAGTAGCTAGGTAGATAGATAGAGAGATAGATAGATAGATGCGTATGTACGTTTCATTTCAGTCTGTGCACATGTATTTCTGAACGTGTGGCCATGTATACACTGAAGTCTACAAACAGTACGCTATCGCATTCATACCAGGATACTCCCCCGCTTTCTCTCCGATGAAAAGGACCCTCAAAGAAAGCCAAGGCAAGCCAAAGTAAAGCAAAGCAAGACACAAAGCAAATCAAAGTACGGGAATCAAGACTGGAAACCTCGCGCCGGTTATCATGTATTATCGGGAAATCAGATAAGGCAAGGTTTCAGCGATTTGGTGGCAGTGAGGGGAGAGGGAGGTGGCAGGGGAAGGGTAGGAGGAGAAGAAGAGGTGGAGGAGGAGGAGTCGAGACGACGACGACGACGACGACGACGACGACGACGACGACGACGAAGAAGAAGAAGAAGAAGAAGAAGAACGAAAGGAGGAGCAGGAGGAGACGATGACGACGACGAAGAGGAGGAGGAGGAGGAAAAGCAAGAAGAAGGAGAAGAGAGGAGGAGGAACAGGACGAGAAAGATGAGGAAGAAGAAGAAGAAGAACAAGAACGAGAAGAAAGAAGGAGAGGGGAAAAAAGAAGAAAAAGAAGTGGAGAGAAACAATTGGATTAGATGTTTGACGGAAGGGGAGGGACGCAGTGAGGCAGAACGTGAGGGAGTGTGATGAGGAGATGCTTAACAGGGTTTATGAGTGCAGGAGTAATGGGGAAGGTGAGGTATAAAAGTGAGGTCGGAGACTTTGAAGAGGCTGTTGGCATAGTGGAAAATAAAGAACCAGAAATTAGGACAAAAAAAAGTTTATTGGATATGTGATGGGACTTTAAATCTCTAGTATTCTCAAACTGAAAATAATGCAGATTGCAGAGTACAACTACATGCACACGAATGATAAAGAATCTCACGTCACGAAGCAAAGGAAACGGTTGAGCTGATAATACGAAAACAGGATATGGTTTGATATCACACGCAATGCATCTGAAAAAAATCATTGATATTTCAACGTGTTTCTCTCTATTTATGCAAGAGATCAGATGCTGATAATCGACATGAGCCCAATAGCCGGATAAGCAACCGGAATACGGTGAGATAAAACGAATTAATGAAATGAAATACTTCTCACGGAGCCGAGTGACGTAGAGCAAGCAGAGAGTATGAGTGAACGCACGTCTGTGTACTTTGTGTTCAAGAGGAGCGTTCCATGTTTCGCTTGAGTTAGCAAGTTAGCGAAAAGTTAGCGAGTTAATTGACTTGTTTGTAGATAACTGCATTATTTGAGCGTCTGCACGGGATAGTCGTAAAATGAGTTAAAAGCAGAAAACTGTTAAAAACAAATTTTGTGCGGCTTTGAGAGAGAATGAAGTTGGGCGTGGGAGACGGTACTAGAGTGTGAAGTAGGGTAGGGGGAGAGTGAGAGTAAGAGTGCGAGAGAGAGAGAGAGAGAGGGGTGGGGGAGCAGAGATAGATAGATGGATAGAGGAGAGAGAGAAAAAATAATAAGTTCTGTGTTTTCGCGTATAAATAGTCGAGTGAGAGCAGAAACCTATCAGACACGCAGGGATGTAGCAGAAAGGTTATACCAGGAGAGGCAAACAGGCAAAAAGTTGTAGATCCCCCCACTTATTCTCCTTCGGTATCCTCACTGATAAAACTTCCCTCCCCTTCCCTTCCCTACCTACCCCTCCCCTCCCCATACCGATCTCCAGCAACCCAAACCTTCCCTCCCCACCGCTTACACTTCACCATTATCTCCACCAACCCCGGGAGCCCTCTCCCATATCCAGATACCCAGCCACCTCAACACCAAATATTCAAACGTATACGCTCAAACACATCATCACCTCCCACCCCCAACGCCTCACCGCCATTCCTATCAATCCCCATCTCCCCCTCCCCACCCCCAACACACCACCACCGAACCACTTACTTCACTGCCACCTCTTCCACATCCAACACTATCCCCACCACCACCAAACCCCTCTACCTCACCCCTAAACTTCCCTCCCCACTACCAAACCCACCCAACCCCCTCACTCAACCCCCTTCCTCCCCTTCCCACCCCCTTCCTCCCTTCCCACCCCTTCACCCACCCCCTCACCCAACCCCCGTCCTCCCCCCACCCCCTTCCCCCCAACCCCTCCTAACCTCCGTCCTCAACCCACATCCCCTTAAAAGCGAGTCGCCGACGCGTTTCCCCAACCCGTAATGGTGCCACAAAAAGTCGAGGGAGAAGACGCGGGTAAATTTGCCAGAAGTACTTCGTTTTGTGTCGCCATATTTGTCCTTAATAGCCGCGGGCGGGCGTCGGTAACTTGTGCTTCGCCGAGGAAAGTCTTGGGTGAGGGGGAGGATGGGGAAGGGTAGGGGTAGGGAGGGGGGAGATGGGAAAGGATAGGGAGGAGGGAGGAGGGAAGGGAGGGGAGGGGGAGGGGAAGGAAGGAGTGAGTGAGTAGGAGGGGAATGGGCGAGTGGGAGGGGAGAAAGGAGAGGGAGAGGATGGAGTGAGTGGGTGGGGGAGGGTTTGAGATAGCAGGGAGTGGAGGACGGGGAAGTAGAAGGGAGGAGGGGAATTGGTGAGTGGGTTAGAGGAGGAAGGGGAAGGAGGGAGGGGAAATGGAAAGGGAAAAGGGTTGAGTAGGAGAGGGAAAGGAGAGGAGGGGAAAAGAAAAACGAAACAGGGAAAGGGAAGATTAGGAAAGGGGAAGAGGAAGAGGATGAAGGGTGAGAAGACAAGGAAGAAGGATGAGAAAATAAAAGAATGTGGGAGGAGAAGAGAAGAATTTGACAATAGCAGTAAAAGGATGGTGGGAAAAGGGGAAGTGTGAGGGAGGAAAAAGGAGAACAAACAATCCAGGAATATAAGTAAATTGCGGCGAAAGTGTCCATAAAGTGCCACAGCACAAATGGACAGCTAGAATGTGTATCAGCGCAGAAGGGAGAGAGAAGGGCAAAGGGTAAATGCAGGTGGCCTCGACGTTAGAAAAAAAATGGAATCTCGAGTCGCATTAGCTCAGAAAAAAAGGGAAAACCCGACTCTTAAAAGACTGAAGGAAGGAGGAGGAGGAGGAGGAGGAGGAGGAGGAGGGAGGCAAACACAGTGGTAGAGAAGAGGAATGCTTTTGTTTACAAGGGATTAACAAAGAGGTGTGTGCCGACAAATTACGTTCAGAAGGAGAGGGTAGGTCCCGCAACAATGAAAATAACTTTCCTTTTTTTCGTAGGAGAAAGGCCATACTTAGAGATAAGAAAATACAACTAAAGCTATGGAAATATTCCCCTTAAGAAAATAGTAAGACATCTTAAAATAGTTTTTAAAGATCGTAGTCGAACTGAAACAAAATTAGTACCTAAGAAAATAGAAATAAAAACACCCACTAAGCCATAACCTTAAAAAAAAATCACAACCAAGATCATTAGAAATAACCTTTCCTTTTCCCTTTTTTCCTCCAGCCGCACCGGAGTTCCTCGTTCGGCCGCAAGACGTGAAGGCCTCAGTGGGGTCGTCCGCCGCCTTCGAATGCCTGGCCGTGGGTCGTCCCTCTCCGCTGGTCGTCTGGAGCCGCCAGGACGACCACAACCTCCTTCTGCCCCGCCAGGATACGCCGTCAGGAGAGCCCGACGACCAGCCGAACGTGTGGGTGAACGCGGAGGGCACGCTCATCATCAACCAGGTGGGGAATCGAAGGGTCTTTGTTGTTATTGTCTTTTTTTTTTTTTTTTTTTTTTTTTTTTTAAGAGGGCTCAGAATTCCTCATTAGTTTGGTTGGCTTTCTACCCCTTTTTCTTTCGCCAATTCCTTGACATTGCGTCGACTTCCCTCTCCGAAACCTTGATCACGACACCGCTTCTCTCCCAGGTGACCCGCGAGCTGTCGGGCTGGTACTCGTGCGCCGCCGTGTCCGCCGCCGGGTCGCTGGTCGCGCGGGCGCTGCTGGACGTGCCCGCGCCCACGCTGCACCCGCCGCCCGTCATCTCCGTGCGGCCGAGGAACCTGACGGTGACACCCGAGGCCGTGGCGCTGATGGTGTGCCAGGCCGAGGGCGCCGCGAGGGTCACGTGGACCAAGGACGGCCGCCTCCTGCCCGAGGACGACGCCAGGATCACGCTGCTTGGCTCCGGACGCTGCAGATCAGCGGTGAGTCGGGGCAGGGCTGGGGGCTGGGGGGCTGGGGAGGGGAGGGGCCAGGGGTTGACGCATTCAGTACTCTAGTTCACTGGCTAGCTCAAAAAAATTTCATTCATCTCTGAATTCACTACTTCATTCATCACACTCATGGCTGCCTCATGGCTTCATTCATCTCATTCATCATTACCTCATGACTTTGAGTAGCGTCGATTGATTATGTCTCCATTTATCCTCTCTCCATTTCCCAATTTCTGAACAGCTGATGAAGATCATCGCCATTGGCTGTTTATCCTATTTCATCTAATGCATTATTCACTCATTTCATTTTCGAAAGTTTGCATTTGAAACTTGACAGTCCAATTGTTCCTTAATTGAATTATTGATATAAAAGAGATCGTGGCCAATGTGCAGACAGAGAGAATCCATCTAAAGTGCTATTGTTCCATTGGAAAAAAACAACCTATCGATTAACAGCATCTGATCTCTGGTGTTAAAGCTGAGAGAGAGAGAGAGAGAGAGAGAGAGAGAGAGAGAGAGAGAGAGAGAGAGAGAGAGAGAGAGAATTAGAGGAGAGATAGAGATGGAGAGAGAGAGAGAGAGAGAGAGAGAGAGAAGAGAGAGAGAAGAGAGAGAGAGAAGAGAGAGAGAGAGAGAGAGAAAGAAAGAGAGAAAAAGAAAGAATGTGAAAGAGAGAGAGAGGAGGGAGGGGGAAGATTTGTGTCCGTGTGTGTAAAAAGAGAATGTATATATTTTTATATATAATTATATTATTTTTTCCGCATTTCACAACTGTTCGCGAGTCGCTTTACCGAGGCCGATTGTCACGCTAGTTTTTTATGTGGCTGTTGGAACGTTATGAGAGAAAAGTTTACTATGACCACTGATGCTTTTATATATGTTAAGCAATATTATCTGTCTGTCATTCTATACATTTTATTCAGAGGAGATAGAGGAAGAGAGATGTGAATGGACGAGAGATCGAGAAGAGAGAGAGAGAGACCATGATGTTCATGTGAGAGAGTGTTAGTGGAGTAGAGAGGAGAGAGAGACGAGAGAAAGAGAATTAATATTTATATATATATACATACATACATATGCTATATATATAATATATAATCTACTAACTATGATATAAATATATATGTATTTGTATATACTATTATATATATACATAATATTAGTGATATAATACATATATTATAATATATATAATATATATATATATATATATTATTGTAAATAGTATATATAGTTATATATTTATATATAATCTCTCTAATAATAATAGTAGATATATATAATATAATATATATATATATAATATATAATTTAGTGAGTATATAGTATATAAAATATATAATATTCGTGTGTGTGGTCTGGTGTGGTGGTGTGTGTGTGTGTGGTTGTGTGTGTGTTGTGTGTGTTGATGTGAGGTCTAGTGGTGTGGGCGTGTGATTGGTGGGGTCTGTGTGTGTGACCGTCTATACACGGTATATAAATATTGTAATATATATATATATATATATAGTATAAATATAAAGTAATATTGTAGATTATAATTATATTAGTGTATATTATATGTGTGTGTATTATGTTATGTGTAGTATTTTCGAGTTGAGTGTATAGTGTGTGTATACATATGTTTGTGCTAGTGATGTGTTAATATATCTGAATTTATATATAAATAAATATGTAGTGTTAGAATATGTATTTTGTATGATATATATGTGTGTGAGTGTGTATGTGTGTGTGTTGTGTATGTTGTAGTGTGTAATACTAGATATATAATGTATATAGATGTGGTTATATATATATATAAATATCGTAATATTAGTATATATATAATAATATATATATACATATGGCATATTAGTAATATATATATATATAATCTATATATAATATAATTTAACATCAATCTAATCTGTATCTATCTATCTATCTATCTAATGTCTATTTAATAAATATACATATAACATATTACATTATAGTTAAGAGATTATATAGATATATATAATATGTGCGTATATATGATACGTGGTGTGTTGTATATTAATTATATATTATGATGACTATATATAGTATATTTATGATACATATATTACAAATAACATATGTGAGTGTATGTGTGTGTGTTGGATAGTGATATATGACGTTATAGTAAATATATATAAAAGTATGGTATGATATGTATGTATATATATATATTATATATATTAGTATAATAGATATACAACACGACCAACACACAACACACACACACACACACACACACACACACACACACACGACACACACCACACAAATATATATATATAATATATAATATATGTATATTAAGTGATGTGTGTGTGTTATAGTAATAAATGTGTTGATATTTTATAGTGTGTGTTAGTCTGATATGTTGTATGGTGTATATGTATAGTGGTGTGTTTGCGTTGTGTGTGTGTGTTGTGCTGTGTGGTGTAATGTGTTGTGGTGTTGGTGTGTGTGGTTGTGTTGTGGCTGTGTGTGGCTGTGTGGTGTTTGGTATCTATTACATGTGTGTCAGTGTGTGTGTGTGTTGCCTCTCGTGTACTTGTATGTATAAATATTAGTATCTTAATATTAAAGAGTAAAATAAATATACTACAGCGACCACACACACACACAGCTACTAACACACACCACACACACACAACACACACACCACACTATTAGTATAATATTAGTACAATAGACCATCCGTATATATCTATATATGTATTAATATGTATATATAATATTAATATAGAATAATGTGATGTATAGTTGAGCCGTTATATATATAACTATTGTGATACATTATAATTAATCTATCTATCTGTACTACTGTATATTAATCAAGTTTGCCGTCTATCTGTTATATATAGACCGATATATCTAGATTTATCCTTAATCTATTTATAGTCTACTCATTTGCTATCTCTATCTATACTAGCTTACTATACTAGATTCCTCATACAATCTTATATCTCTCTCTCTCTCTCTTACCTACTCTTCTTCTCTCTCTCTTCTCTCTCTATATCTCTCATCATATATCTCTCTTCTCTCTCTCTCTATCTCGTACTATATATACTACTCGACATCTCTTATTACTATATATATATCTCAATATCATTACACTACCTTGACTTCATTAGGGAAGAGAAGAGAAGAAGACGAGCAGTACGAGAGCGCAATCTCTAACAGAGCGAGCATAATCTACGAGAGAAGAGGAGAGAGAGAGAGAGAGAGAGACGAGAGCACACAGAGAGAAGAGAGAGAATCTTCCCTCTTCAGTATCAGAAAAGAAGAGCCATTCTATATTCCTCATATTAAATATACGCTCCATATCCTATTACCATATGTATATACTACTTACTTATATGGACCTCGTCTCCGCCATCTACTGATCTCACTCTCCACACATACTCAATCATCGTTCTGTACTACTCCCTTACTTTATCTCCTCCGTTCTCACAATACATCCCCTCTCCCTATTCAGATCCCTAACATCCGCTCTATCCTTCCCTCCCTCTCCTCTAATCCTCCGCCTCCATATACTCTCCCCCCTCTACCTCCCTTTCGCTCCCTCTCTCCTATCCCTCTCCCTTGTGTGTGGGTTTGAAGGGTAAATTTTTTGATCTACCCTTAAAAATTGTTGAAATTGTCTACTGTAACAAGGGCAGGTTTATTGGGGATGTGAATGTGAAAGAACGAGGGAATAGTTTTCGACTGAACGGACAGATTGAGAGAGTTTTGACATTATTGAGTGAGATTTCGCTTTGATTTTCCGGTTTATCAAGTATCTTCGTATATAAACATTTTTTATGGAGTTATTTAGTAGTTATCTCTGCTTTTTTTTTTTTTTTTTTTTATTATCATTTGTCTTGGTATCTTTTTTATCTTTCTGTTTTTCTTTGCATATGTGGTCCGTCTTTATATCTATGTCTCATATCGTTTTATTTATTATAGATTATTTATTATCTATTTGTATTGTACTCCCTGTTTGTTAACTCATATCTTCTTACCCTCTTCTCGTCCTCCATTTCTCTCTTTTCCCCCTTCCTCCTTCTCCTTATCCTCCCTCCTCCATCTCCTCTACTCCTTCCTTCTCCTCCCTTCCCTACCTACCCCCCCCCGTTACCCTTCTCCATCCTCCGCCCCCCCCCTCCCTCCTCCCTCCCCTTTCCTTCTTTTCCCGCGAAGATTACAAGCCAATGAATATTTGAATTCTTAGCCGGTCACCCTTTCATTGTCGAACGCTGAGTGTCTAGACATTTCACTCCGATTTACGCCACATTGGTCCATCGTTCGCTTTTGTCTCCAACGAACGAATGTGAATGGAGAGGCTATTTACCTTTTTTGTTATTTGTTATTTTGTTTGTTTGTGCGTGTTGGTGTGGGTGGTGCTGGTTGGATTATTTTTATTATCAGGGGGAGGAGGGAAGTTTGGAGGGAAAAGAGGGGTGAAGGGAGGGAGCGAGGACGGAAGGGAGGGAAGGAAGGGTGGAGGAAAGTAAAAGGGGAAAGAAAGAAACAGACAGACCAGATCGGAGAAAAGGAAGGGTGAAGAAAGGAAGCAAAGTAAGGACAAGAGAGACAGACAGACAGATGGGAGGGAAGGAAAGGAAGAACGGAAGAAAGTAGAGGAGAAAGTATAGAAAGGAGGAAAGCGAGAGACAGACAGACAGATGGAAGGGAAGGAAGGAAGGAAGGGTGGAAGAAAGGAAGAAAAGGGGAAAGAGGAAGACAGGCAGACAGAGGGAGACAGAGACAGTGAGAAACAAAAGCCATTCCAACCCGAAATCTTTGGTCGTTCGAAAGTTGGTTAACGGTTACTCTCCCAAGTCACGTGACGGCGAGAGGTCCCAGCTCGCTCGCCCATCATGCTAGACTAGCAAGGCGTCGTCTCGAGTATGTCTTTTTTTGTTTACGTGTTTAACGGATTTTTTTTTTTCATCGCAGAAAGGAACAAGAAAGGAGAGAGACAGAGACAGAGACAGAGACAGAGACAGAGACAGAGACAGTCAGAGAGAGAGAGAGAGAGACAGATACAGACAGAGAGAGAGAGGGAGGGAGAGAGAAAGAGAGTTATCATACATAGTTATCATCGTTAAAAAAGCGTTATCATACACAACACGAGATGCTTTGTTGTGAAACATTGTTACGAATGTCTTTTTTTAAGATAGTTTGCCGACTGTGATGCCGTGGACTTGAAGAAGATAAAAAGGGGAGGGAAGTTTGATTTTTTATCGAATTAATATTATCATTTTGATTTCCCGGACAGTTGTGGATAAACTCATGTTCCATTTATTCATTTGTTATTATTATTTTTTACTGAATACAGAAGAAAGATATTATCTACAATAAACAGAGAGACAGACATTTTATTAATTTTGTCCGAGTCGCAATGCGCCCCCCCCCCCCTCCTCCCCACCTGTAGAAAAACAGGGTCTCTGATATTAAATGTTAAACCAAAAAAGAAAAAAAGAGAGTTTTTTAGGTGCAGAAGACGAACGACGCGTATCGAAAACTAATTACTTAGACGGTCGAGGTGAACGAAGCCCATTCCACGGGATGAGGATTCGGACAGAGATGCAGAGGAAGCTGTGCGTCAACACACGCGTCCGAAATGACCTTTCGAGATTCTAGAAAAATATATATATTAATCATCTCATTCTCTTCTCTCCTCTCTCTCTTCTCTCTCTCTCTTCTCTCTCTCTCTCTCTCTCTCTCTCTCTCTCTCTCTCCTCTCTCTCTCTCTCTCTCTCGTCTCTCTCTCTCTCTCTCTCTCTCTCTCTCTCTCTCTCTCTCTCCCTCTCTCCTTCTCTCCCTCCTCCTCCTCCCTCCCTCTCTCTCTCTATCTCCTCTCCTCTCTCTCTCTCTTCTCTCTCTCTCTCTCTCTCTCTCTCTCTCTCTCTCTCTCTCTCTCTCTCTCTCTCTCTCTCTCTCTCTCTCTCTCTCTCCTCTCTCTCTTCTCTCTCTCTCTCTCCTCTCCCTCCCTCCCTCCCCCTCCTCCCTCCCTCCCTCCCTCTCCCTCCCTCCCTCAGCACTTTCCCTCACTCATTAGACATAGATGTAAAATTAGACGATTCAACACAGACACTTAGAATTATAGATACACAAATGAATATATAGAGAGATAGATAGGACAGACAAACAGGCAGGCAGACAGACACAGATAAATAGACTAGAAATTAAAAGGTAGATAGATGTTATAGATAGATCGACATACTGAGAGATAGACAGTGAAACATATACTTAGATAAATATATAGATAGACAGACAGATATAAAGACTGGTAGATAGACAGACATGTAGATAAATAGATAAGTTGATAGATAAATAGACAGTCCTAGAAACAGACAAACAGGTAGACATAGAGATTTAACATATAACCCGGGAAGTAGACATGTCAACAGACAAACAGACATGTAGATCGATAGATAGAAAAATCAGTATGTATAGACAATAAAAATATAATGAAATCAAATAAAAAAAGATGACCGAAAGACGTGACCAAGTCCCACGTCTTTCGTATTTATGGAATAAATGTTCTTGGAATGTGAATTACTGCGGCGGTTTCCTCTGACCTTTCCTTCCTTTTCTGCCTGTCTGTTTGCTTGCCTGTCTTTGTCTATCTGTCTGTCCAACTATCTATGTCTGTCTGTCTGTCTGTCTTTCTTTGTCTACCTGTCTGTCTTTGTTTGTCTGTCTGTCCAACTATCTATGTCTGTCTGTCTGTTCATTTGTCTGTCCAACTATCTATATCTGGCTATCTATGTCTATCTGCCTGTCTGTCTGTTCATTTACCGGTCTGTATGTCTATCTATCTATCTATTTGAACTAGTACAGAAAAAAATCATAAAACAGTTACGGAATTATGTGATTTTAGCGTTCATTGATTTTTAATAGTGCTCATTATGAAACAGATTTGCAATGCATTGGATAATCTTTTTTTGTTTGCAGTTCATGTCTTTTACTTTTTTTTGCCAGGCGAAAAAAATTGTCGTGTGTTACTCATCTCATAACAGGACTTCATTTTATTATGTTAGATTATCCTTCCTTCCTTTTTTTCATTCTTGCTTCTTCCTTTTCTTCTCGATATCCTTTCTTCCTCCTGTTCTCAACATTTTTTTCTTTACATCTCATCGTTATTCTTTCGTTTTTATATTTCCCTCCTTCCGTTTTTGGTTGTTGTTTTTTTCATGTGTCTCTCTCCACATTTTTTATTGTCAATTTGTAACTCCTTCCTGTTCTTATTATCCATCCTTCTATTCTCACCATTTTCCCATCTTCTTTTGTCATTATCATTCCTTCTTTCTTTATTACTCCTTCCTCTCTTCTTCTCTCATTCTTCCTGGTTTTCTCTGCTCATTAATCCTCCTCTTATCTTCTCATTCGTTCTCCTTATTTCTCTCCCTTTCTCACTCTCCCTCCTCCCTTCCCTCCCTTTCTCAGTCTCACTCCTTCTTACCCCCTCTTCCTTATCCCCCCTCCTTTCTAAGTCTCACTCTTTCCCCTCTTTTTTTATCAGCCCTCCCTTCCTTCCCTTTCTTACTCTCCTCCCCTCCCTTTCCCCCCTTTCTCACTCTCCTTCCCTCCCCCTCTTTCTTATTCTCCCCCCTCCCTTTCTGACTCTCCCTCCCCTTCTCACTTTCCCTCCTTCCTTCCTCCTCTTTATTATTCTCCCCCCACGCTTCTCTTCCTTTCTCACTCTCCCTCCTTCCTTCCCCCTCTTTCATATTCCCCTCCCCCTTTCTCACTCTCCTTCCTTCCCTCAGACGTCCGCGAAGACGACGGCGGCATCTACACCTGCACGGCCGCCTCCGACGCCGGCAGGTCCTCCATCACCGCCCACCTGAAGGTCGTCCCAGCCAACAGCCCCGCCGCCGCCCGCACCACGCCCGCGCCCGACCCACGCGACCTCCCTGGACCTCCCCTGCCGCCCACTCAGCGCGCCCGTAATTCCACCACGTTGACCTTAGCCTGGGGGCCGCCTGAGCAGGAAGGGGCGTCGCCCATCACCAGCTATATTCTCGAGGTGAGAGATTTATTCATCTCTGTTTTGGTTTCTTTCTATCTTTTATTGATTTATTTTTATCGTCATTATTAGTAGTATTAGTATTAGTATTTTATTATTATTATTATTATTATTATTATTATTTTGTGTATTTGGAGAAGGCTTGTCCTTGTCTCCTTCTTTTTCATTTTTTATTTTATGCATCCCACAAGCCACGGGGAATAAATATCAGCCACCATACAACATAAGCATTTTTTTTCTTTTTTTGTGAGGAAAAGCTGGGGAACAAAAATCTTTATAAAACATTCCAAATCTACAAGCCATTTTATTTGATGTTCGTCACTTCCACCCTTCCTCACAACTTTTATTTCATCCCCCCATTTATTTATCCTCTTCCTCGCAGATTTGGAACGGGTCCGGCCAGTGGACTCCCTTAGAGGAACACATCCCGGCGGAATCCTACACCCTAACTGGCCTCAAACCCAACACGCAATACAGAGCCGTCGTGAGGTATGTGGTGAAGCGAATACATGAATAAACGAATGAATGAAATGAGCGAAGTGTATTGCAACGATTGTTTGTGAATGAAATGAGCGAAGTGTATTGCAACGATTGTTTGTGAATGAAATGAGCGAAGTGTATTGCAACGATTGTTTGTGAATGAAATGAGCGAAGTGTATTGCAACGAATGTTTGTGAATGAAATGAGTAAAGTGTATTGCAACGAATATTAATGAATTGAAGTGATAGTATTGGTGAGAATTGAGTCACTTCAGGTTAATCGTTTGATTGATGTTTAATTCATGAATTAGGGAAATGTGTAGTCTCAATCTTTGTGAGAGTGACTTGAAAATTGTATAATAAGAGAAAGTATACCTTTAGAGAAAATTAATATACAATCGCTGTCTCTGAGGAATGAAAATTAGGGAATCAAAATGATTCTTTGCATTTCCGTCCACCCACTCCCCCCCCCCTCCTTCTCACTCCAACCCACTATCTCCCCCCCTTCCTCACTCCACCCCCTTTCTCCCCCCCCCCCTTCCTCTCTCCACCCACCCACCCCCTTCCTCTCTCCATCCACTTTCTCACCCCCCCCCTCCTCCCCAGGGCTATGAACATGCACGGTGTCTCCGCGTCGTCCCCCGTGTCCGGCCCCCTGGTTACCGCCGGGGGAGGGAGGCCGGGCGGTGAAGGGGCGAAGGAGACGAACAACGACCCCGAGATAAGGGCCGTCCTCGCCCACCCTCTCGTCACCCTCATGCCGCCCACGCCCATCTCGTCCACGGCAATCAAATTACAGTGGAAGGTAAGAGTGTGTGTGGTTTTTTGTGTGTGTGTGTGTGTATTTAGGTATTGCTTCGTTCTTTTTGTTGTTAGTATTCTATTCTATTTCTATTTTCTATTCGTTTATTTTTTTTTTTCTTTTCTCTCTTCTTTCTCTCTTTTCTTCTCTTCTGCTTTCTTCTCTACTTCTCTCTTTTCTTCTCTTTTCTTTTCTTCTCCTCTCTTCTCGTTTTATCTTACCTTCCCTATCTATATTAACTCTCCATCAAGAGTCAGAATATATTTTCTTTTCCAACTATATTTAGAAGATTTTTACTCCTTTTCCAATAACTATTTTTCCTTTTATCCTCCACTCCAAATACTCAAACACAATGGCTATGGCTTCGGCTTAGTTTTTGGTTCGAACGAAATCCGTCTTCCTCAGGCGGGATTTGGAGTCACCGCGTGGGGGCTCTCTTCTCTTCCATTTTCTATTTTCTTTGTTGTATTTTTAGCTGTATTTTATTTGTGTTGTGATTATTAATAGCATTTTTATTATGCCAGTTTTGTTTTTGTTATTGTTGTTGCTGTTATCGTTCGGACGTTAGATTATTATCAGTTAACTTTTTTTTGGATTATGTGTTTAGCTTTAACTTCTTCCATTCTTTAATTCATCACAAACATCTTACAGATTCCCTCTCCCTTGCATTTAGATTGACTTTGCGCTGCAGTTTAGAATCGGCGTCCTTGCAACATTCAATCTTGACTTTTTGCCGTTGCGTTCCGTGCTGCTCAGTCCTGCTTGCAGTCTTTGGGTCCAGTCTTTTTGTCCCGCTTCGCTGTCTTTATTTATCTGTCTGTTTGTCTCTTTGTCAATCTCTGTCTCTGTGTGTATTTCTCTGTCTATAATTATTTTTTTACTTTACTTTTTTTCTTTTATCCGCTCTTTTTTTTTTTTAGTGTTTATATATCTGTTTTATTTTGTTTCTGTATTCTGCCTTTGTCTCTTGTTTGCTTCTTTTTTGTGTTTAATCTCCCATTAGCTTTTTTTTTTTCTTTCTTTCTTTTTTTTATGAAACTTGTATTCTGGATGCGCCATTAAATATAGTCTTATCACCAGTGACTAATTTATTCTAACTTCCTCCCCTCCTCCCCCATCCTCCATTTATCTCCTCTCTCTGCCTCCTCTCCTCCCTTCTCCTCCTCCTCCTCCTCCTCCTCCTCCTCCTCCTCCTCTCCTCCTCCTCTCCTCCCCACCTTCCCCCCACCTCCACCTCCATCCCCACCCCACCTCCTCCTTCCCCTCACCCCCTCACCCTCCCCCTCTTCCTCCCATCCCCCTCCCTCCCCCTCCCTCCCCTCCCTCCCACCCCACCTCCTCCTCCACAGGTCCAAGAATTCGAGGACTACATGGACGGCTTCTACGTGCGGTACCGCGACCTGAGCTCCGGCACCCACCGCTTCGAGATGGAGGCCGTGACCCGCTCCGGCGCCGCCCACCAGGCCGCCTCCTACACCGTCAGCGACCTCGCCAAGTTCACCGAATACGAGTTCTTCATCGTGCCTTACCACCGCAACATCCACGGCCATCCCTCCAACTCCAGGATCGCCGTCACGATGGAGGACGGTGGGTGCTTGGGTGGGGCTTGGGGTGGGGGTGGGGGGGGGTAGGGAGAGAGGGGGTTAGGGCTGCTGTTGTTTTTTTTTGTGTTTGGGTTTGGGGGGTAGTGTTTTATTTTTTTCTGTTGATTTTAAGTGTGTGTGTGTGTGTGGGTTTTATGTCTTGCTAGTGTAACTATTTTACTTTTTCACAATACCCTAAGATCTCATCTTTAAAATCATTTGCCCAATACACAATCATTTCCAGCCATACCGTTAACCGAGCCATTTATCACGCACCGCTTCCTGACGAATAACCCCCTTCTCCCTCCCGCAGTCCCGTCAGCGCCGCCGTCGGGAGTCGAGAGCCTCGTCCTGAACGCCACCAGCGTCGTCCTCTCGTGGCGCCCCCCTCCTCGCGAGCACACCAACGGCAGGATCACCAAGTACTCCGTGTGGCTCTTCGTGAACAAGACGGTCCCGCACTCCAACCTCACCCTCGAGGGGAATCTGCACACCCTCACGCTCTACAACCTGACCTTCGGGAAGCACTTCACGGCGACGGTGGCGGCGCAGACCAAGTACGTTGGGGCGAGGGGTGGTTTTGATTGTTGTTTTTTGTTAGTTAACCATCTTTGTGCGGGATGTTGATGTGGAGTCTTTTTATTTAGATAAATGTGGCCTGGTTTTTTTTTTCTTCTTCTTATACAGTATCAAGAAAAATTAAGAAAAAAAAAACACCTAGGACTGAAAGCAAAAGATGTTTTTCACATTCATCTACATAGCCTTTTTTTTTTAAATCTCATAACCCCCCCCCCCTTTTCAAACCCCAGGGCGGGTCAAGGGCCGACGAGCGGAGGTCACACGTGGCTGCAGGACCCGTCGGCGAGCTCGGGATCCGGGGAACCGAAGCGGGTGCCGTCCCCCCTGATGGCGGTCCTGCGGGAGACCTGGTTCATCGGGGCCGTCGGCGCTGCGGGATTCCTGGCGCTCTCCGTCTTCGTCGCCGTCGTCTGCTACCGCCGGAAGAGGAACGAGAAGCGCGCCATGGGAGGTACGTCTTTCGAGAGAGAGAGAGAGAGAGAGAGAGAGAGAGAGAGAGAGAGAGAGAGAGAGAGAGAGAGAGAGAGAGAGAGAGAGAGAGAGACGAATGTATAATTTCGTGCCTGCATTTTGTCGCTGTTTAGCGCGAGAAGAAAACACTTCAGCATAAGACAAATCAAAGAAAAAAATATCAAACGAGTGGGGAACTCAACATCCCATTACGACCCACAACAACACTCACCAATCCCACACCATACATCACGAGTGCAACCGTAGATCCTCCAGACAGTACTCATTAACCGCCGCCAGTACGGTAGCGACGAGTGTATCGAAGAGGTCGCTCCTTCAGTGCTTCCGATATGCCCCCCCCCCCTCTTCCTGGGATTTATGGCCAGCTTAAAGACGCCTTTAGTCCTCCCTTCTTGTGTTGTCTCTGACGAGCGCATTCAGCGATACATAAAATAGGGGGGGTTCGTGAGGGTTTGTGAGGGAGGGGGTGGGGGTGGGAAGGAGGGGTTCGTGAGGGTTGAGAAGGAGTGGAAGGGAGGGGGTGGAGGAAGAGGGAGGGGTGAGGAGATTAGAGGGGAAGAGGGAGGGAGAGAGGATGGATTAGAAGGGAAGGAGGGGGTGAAGAGAGGAAAGGAAGGGAAGTGAGAGAGAGAGAGAGAAAGCTGGAGTTGAGAGAAAAGAAAGAAGGGAGGAGGAGGGACGGAGAAAGATAAAGAGGGAGGGAATGCGATTGGATAGGAGGGAGGGAAGGAGGGTAAAAAAGTGCGCAGAGGAATAAAAATTAGGACGAAAGAGTGAAAGAAGATGAAAAACGTCGAAAACCTAACGAACTGTGGTAATATAATCAGATCATCAGTTATAGTCAGTGGATGACATCAAACAAGAGCACTGAAAGCTGGAAGGTTAATATCGCAAAGGACATTATTGGCGAGGGTTACATGACATTCAGATCTCTGATGTAGGAGCTCATTTCTATGGCTAAAATTATATTATGAATAAGTTACAAAAAATAGTTCAGAAACTTCGTAAAAAGAGAAGGGAGGGGGCGAAGACAAATTATTCAAAAGACTTATGCGATGAATATGGTAAACATGAAAATAAAAAAACAAGGGAGCTGGAATCAGGTGATGGAAATGAATGAAAAAAAATGACGGAAAAACGAACAAGTTTATCACACGCCCAAAGAAGCAAACCTATGAGATGGAAAATGAGAAAGAAGAGGAAAATGAAGAAGATGAAGAAGATTACCATCCCATTGTGTCTTCTGAGTAGACTCTTCAGCCGCCACATGCATCGCGAATCAATATTTCGGATCCCGAAATGGTGCTGAGCCGTTGGCAAGTTAGGAGGGAAGGCGGGGTGTCCGTGGCACTGGCGAGAAAGAGGGAGCGGAGGGTACTGTGACACTTACAAGGGCGAGGGGGATAAGGGGGGGTCTGTTTGGTACTGGTGAGAGCAAGGGGAAGGGGGAGGTTGTGGTCTTTGGTATTGACAGATGGAAGGAGGGGAAGATGGGCGTCGGGGCTGAGGCGGCACGAAGGGTCGCCGTCTTCGGGGCGACGTCGAGTAAAAGGGGCGCGGCGACACAGTGCCAGGCAGGGAAGGTGCCAAGGGGCATTGATTCCCGCCCCGGATCAATACGTCTCCTTGTGGGTTTTATAGCGAAGTCTCGAATGTTTTATGCAGATTTTATAGTGAGCCATTTTCTCATTCCCGGGGGTAAAGTTTCAGCCCGATGATTGGGAGGAAGTTTTATGATTTTTAAGGTTCTAAGGAGAAAGTGGCGTTTCGGAACGACGACTGTTTCCGGGGCATTTGGTAAAAACCGGCTCGGAATTGCCGACCAAAAACATTATCTTGAATAAGGAGGTTTAGCAAGAAGTAAGCAAAGGCAGTTCCTGATTCAAGGCGCGAGTGTTGAGAGTCCGAGAGGCGGATCGAGGCAGGGCAAGCAGACGGATCGACTCGTATGGCACCCTCTGGCCCTCACTCCCCCTAAGTGCCACTCTGCCTTCTCAGCTGATGCTCGACGAGGGGACTAATTGATAATCCGCTGAATGGACGCGGCGCAAAGCGAGTCGTGGAGGAGGCCTGGAAGTGTTCGGCTGGGAAAGACCTGATCCGTTCGAGCGGGTCGGGACGAGTCGACGTTTCCCGAAATACGAGTTGCGCAAGAGATTTTGTCGGCCGATTGCACGCTTTTGTTTCCCTTTTTAATCTTAACAATTTTCATCCGCAGACGCTGTGCAAATATTCCTTTTTTTGCCATTTCGTTCGAATACTCATTGACTACGGCGTCGATATACCTGCGTCGACCAGCGCGTTCGGACATACCCGAGCGGACGGGATGCTGATACGTGACCGGGAATTAATGAATCCAACCGAACCGCGTTTCCCTTAATCAACGTGCAAGCGAAGGGAACTTCTCTCTCTCCCTCTCCCTGCAAAGGATACCCAACCTTCTGCCGGGAGGTCCCAAAGCCCTGAATCCCGCGGGAACGAAGCCATCGCAAGGTGCCATAACGAAAAACATATCAAGGAATATAAAACCGAAGCGATGTTCTTCGAGTCGTGTTCTCGCGGCGGCCGAAGAACGTCCGTGAGAGCGAATAAGAGCGTATTGGTTATCGTCTCCCAAGGGAACCATTGATATCTAGCGCCACGAAGCCCCGTTTCCCCGAAGCCGAAGCCGAGGAACAGTTGCTCTCCTCGCGTGTGATGAGAAGTGAATTTAGACGCGGAGAGAAATGGGCGATTCAGCCTCGTTTAGAAGTTTGGTGCGAATCATGATCATTGTTGTTACTATTGTTATTTATTCTTCCTGGACTTCTACTCGTTATTTTTATTATTGTTATTATTATGATGATGATGATTATTATGGCTGTTATCATCACCATCATCACTGTTAGCATTATTATTAGCTTTAGCGTTAGCATAATTTTTTATTCTTCTCAGCATAAACGTTTGTTATTGTTGTTGTTGCTGCTGCTTTAAGTATTATCATAAATAGTATTATTTTCACAAATGTAAAAAAAAATGTATGAATGAGAATGAAATTTTTCACAATACAAGAAATGCTTTTAACCGTTTTCGAATACAGCTTCGTCGGGAATTTAAACAAAAGTAGTAACATTCGGATTCCATGTTTAAGATTTTAAGAATGCGTTTAACAATGTACCCGTGCTTGAATTATTTTTTCCGATTATGCCTTTTGCGAGACTGAATGGAATGTCGAGAATAGAGTTTGAAACTTGAAGGTTTTTCTTATGCAGAGCTGTAATAATAGGATTTAATCTGGTATTTCAATAATTGTTAAATCTCTCTCTCTCTCTCTCTCTCTCTCTCTCTCTCTCTCTCTCTCTCTCTCTCTCTCTCTCTCTCTCTCTCTCTTCTCTCTCTCTCTCTCTCTCTCTCTCTCTCTCTCTCTCTCTCTCTCTCTCGGCATGACGAGAATTAACATCAGTATTTTAACAAAAAGGAATCAACTAGATTTACTGACTGGATAACAGACGACGACAGAGACTATATTCGGTCCTCTTGATGATGAACCGCTGCCTTTATGTGTGAGAAAGTGTTGTGTTTTGTCGCATTTTGCCCCAAATCAGTTAACAACACAAGTACTTTGCTGGACATTACCTCACCCAACCCCCTAGTCCTGAGGCTGCATCCCAACGTATTCAATATTTGCTGCTGATTTATACATATACAATTTATAGCGCTGCTCTCCGTTCCCCGTGGGTGAGCGGACAAAGGCCGGATGAATCGGTAATCATTGCTTTGTCAGTGTTTTTAAAGAGATTATTTTGGGTATCCACTTTTTTCCAGTGGTTTGGGTCTGTATCGCTTTCATCTGTCTATCTCTGTCTTTGTCTGGTTTTCGTTCTGTCTGTCTCTCTCTCTCTCTCTCTCTCTCCTCTCCCTCTCTCTCTCTTCTTCTCCTCTTTCTCTCTTCCTCTCTTTCTCTCTTTCTGCTCTTCTCTTTCTCTTTTCTCCTTTTTCTCTTTCTCTCTTCTCTCTCTCTCTCTCTCTCTCTCTCCTCTCTCTCTCTCTCTCTCTCTCTCTCTCTCTCTCTCTCTCTCTCTCTCTCTCTCTTCTCTCTCCTCTCTCCTCTCTCCTCTCTCCTCTTTCCTCTCTCCTCTCTCCTTCTCTCCTCTCTCTTCTCTCCTCTCTCTTCTCTCTCTCTCTCCTTCTCTTCTCTCTCTCTCTTCTCTCCTCTCTACTTCTCTCCTCTCTCTCTCTCTCTCTCTCTCTCTCTCTCTCTCCTCTCTCCTCTCTCCTCTCTCCTCTCTCCTCTCTCCTCTCTCCTCTCTCCTCTCTCCTCTCTTCTCTCTTCTCTCTTCTCTCTTCTCTCCTCTCTCTTCTCTCTTCTCTCTCCTCTCTTCTCTCTTCTCTCTTCTCTCTTCTCTCTTCTTCTCTCTCCTCTCTCTCTCTCTTCTCTCTTCTCCTCTCTTTCTCTCTTCTCTCTTCTCCCTTTCTTCTTTCTTCTCTCTTCTCCCTTTCTTCTCTCTTCTCTCGTCTCCTTTCCACTCTTTTCCTCTCTCCAAAACGAATATCTAATTTAATCGTTTATTTACTCCTCTGCGTATGTCTCGCGGTCAATGTTATTTGCGCTCGTTGGGCGACTACAAAATCCTCCCAGGGCGATGGACAACACTGGGTAAGACGGCGTAAGAAATCGGTCTAGAACGTGGCAGATTTTGATGATATTTGCGTCTAGAGATTCGGACGCGTGGACCTAATGTTGACGTGTATCACCGGTTTGTTGTTGTTGGTGGTGGTGGTGGTTTCGTATTTGTTGTTGTCATGTTGGTGTTCTTCTGGTGTTGTCAGATTCTGTTCTTGCTGGTTTCGTCTTGCTGTTGTTGCATCCGTTGATTTTCTCATCACCACTGTCGTCCCACGTCTCCTTCATCACCGCCAGCATCACTACACAACACCCGCACCACTGCCACTGCTACATCTCACCATCAGCAGCAACATACATCTTCGTATGATTAATACACCACAGCTCACCACCATCGCCTTCTGCACTATATCCCCATTTCATCACAGTTACCTTCACATCACATGAAAGTCATTACTGCATCACCACTAACACATAAACCACATTACCACCACATCACCCTATTCACTTCACCACGACCACCACCTCCTCCGCACATTTCACCACACTCATCACACTACCATCACCAACATCATACATCTTCACTACCACATCATCCCCACATTGCGCCACACTACCATCACCAACAGCGTACATCTCACCACCGTACCCTCACCACAAATCACTCCCTCACCATATTTTACCATATTACACCCTCACCACAGCGAATTCCTCACCACCCACACTCACCACCACAGCACACCCTCACACCACACCCACACCACAGCACATCCTCAACACCTCAGCGAATCCTCACACCACACCCTCACCACAGCACATCCTCACACCACAGCACATTCTCAACACCTGCATCATCACACCACACCCTCACCACAGCACATCCTCACACCACAGCACATCCTCAACACCTCAGCGAATCCTCACACCACACCCTCACCACAGCACATCCTCACACCACAGCACATCCTCAACACCTCAGGCCTTCAGCAGCACATCCTCAACAGCACATCCTCACACCACAGCAATCCTCAACACCTCAGCGAATCCTCACAAACCTATCCTCACCACAGAATCAACACCTCAGCAATCCTCACACCACACCTCACCACAGCACATCCTCACACCACAGCACATCCTCAACACCTCAGCGAATCCTCACACCACACCCTCACACAGCACATCCTCCACACCACAGCACACCTCAACACCTCAGCGAATCCTCACACCACACCCTCACCCACAGCACATCCTCAACAAGCACATCCTCAACACCTCAGCGAATCCTCACACCACACCCTCACCACAGCACATCCTCATACCACACCCTCACCACATTTCACCACACCATCGCAATAAGCCACCCGAGATCAGACCCCACAAGGTGCACGTCCATAGAATTCGTAATGAACTATTAGCCACTTCGGCCACTGACGCACACGGGTCCAGTTGTCAGGGGGTGGAGGGAGGGAGAAGGGAGCGACGTACGTGAGAGGGAGCGGGGAGAGGGCGAGGGGGGGGGTGGGAGTGAGGTTGAGGGGGAGGGAGGGAGCGTGGGGAGAGGGAGGAAGGTGGGAGGGAGGGGCAACAAGGGGAGAGGAAGAGGAGGAGGTTGGGGAAGGGGAGATGAAATGGAGGGGCGGAGGGGAGGATGAAGGAAGAGGAGGTTGGGGAAGGGGAGTGGGGGAGATGGGAGAGGGAAGAGGGAGAAGGGAAGGAGCGAAAGGAGATGGCGCTGAGGGAAGGAGGTAGAAGAAGAGGGAGAGGGAGGAGGAGGAGGAGGAGGATCTGTGAGGAATGGAAATGAAAATGTGTGACAGTTTTCCCCTCACTGGGAATACGTGGATGGCAGGGATGGTGTGGGAGGAGGGAGGAGGGGAGAGGGGCGAAAGAGGGAGATGAACGCTCAGGAGACGTGCACCGCCAAACCGTGAAAAAGGGGAACGACTTTCCTCTTCTCCCCCTAAAAAAACACAATAATAATTATAAAAGATAAACAAAAAGTCCTCTATATCCACAAACCCAAACATGCATTATTTCCCATAATATTTAAAAAGAAAAAAAATCAAGACAACCCCTCGCCAAACGGATCGTCAGCTGTTTTCCAGATCAACAAGCGAGGACGGCGATGCGCACGCCACAGCGCAACGAGAGGCCGGACGATAACCTAAGGGAAATCACACTGCCACTTAATGTATCGACCAGGGAAGGGAAGGGGGAGGGGGAGAAAGTGTGTTATAAATTCAAGAGGGAAGCGGAGGTATTCTCCCCCTCGCCCCTGGATTACCACCGTGGCTTCCTCTTCCCCCTCGGTCGGGCGCCCTCCACGCCCGCCGTGGACTGGCTGCTTGGCTTGAGATGGACGCCGGGAAATGTCTTTTGGGGGGATAATGTGCTTGGCTTTTGTTTGAGGTGTTGTCTTTGAGGGGTGTTTTTAGGGAAGGGGGGAGGGGTAGTCGTGGTGAATTCGAAGTGGTGGGTGGTATTAGATGTTAGTAGTGTGATTAGTGGTGTTATTTATTAGTATTTTTTGTATATTCTCTGTTTACTGTGTTGCCATATGGTCCCTTTCTTCTCTTTCTTTTTCTCTCTCTCTTTATTTTTTCTTTTTCTTTCTTCTTTCTTGTCTTTTCTCTTTCTTTTTACTTTCTTCTCCTCTCTCTCTTTCTTTCTTTTCTCTTTTCTTCTCTCTCTCCTCCTCTCTTCTCTCTCTCTCTCTCTCTCTTCTCTCTCTCTCTCTCTCTCTCTCTCTCTTCTCTCTCTCTCTCTCTCTCTCTCTCTCTCTCTCTCTCTCTCTC